AGCCATCTATAGGAAAACGGCGGAAGCAAAGTTGTACACCTAATATTATCAGAAACAGTGTTGTGACAGGATAATAAATTTGGATAAAAAATTGATGTAACTTTGACAGGTCAAGAAGTAGGATACAGCATCCGTTTTGAAGATTGTAGTTCATCAAGGACTGTGTTGAAATACATGACCGATGGTATGTTGCTTCGGGAAGGAATGTCTGATCCCATGTTGGATGCCTATCAAGTGATACTGCTAGATGAAGCTCATGAAAGAACGTTAGCTACTGACTTGTTGATGGGTGTTTTGAAAGAAGTGATCAAACAGAGACCGGACTTGAAACTTGTGATTATGAGTGCTACCTTAGACGCTGGAAAGTTTCAACAGTATTTTGACAACGCTCCACTTATGAACGTACCTGGTAGAACGCATCCAGTCGAGATATTTTATACACCAGAGCCAGAGAGGGACTACTTGGAGGCAGCAATAAGAACTGTTATTCAGATACAAATGTGTGAAGAAATTCCCGGGGATCTTTTGCTATTTTTAACTGGTCAAGAGGAAATTGAAGAAGCTTGCAAGAGAATAAAAAGAGAAATGGACAACTTGGGACCTGAAGTTGGTGAACTAAAGTGCATACCATTGTATTCGACACTGCCGCCGAATCTTCAACAGAGAATATTTGAACCTGCTCCGCCTACCAAAACTAATGGTGCTATCGGCCGCAAAGTTGTCGTTTCGACCAATATCGCAGAGACATCGTTGACTATCGACGGAGTTGTCTTTGTCATAGATCCTGGTTTTGCCAAGCAAAAAGTAAATACGACTTTAATTAATACAAATCAATAATCTAGGAACTTTCATCATCATGAACTTATTACTAATTTTTAATGCTTTTTATTAATAGGTATACAATCCTAGGATTCGTGTCGAATCTCTTTTAGTGTCACCTATTAGTAAAGCTTCAGCGCAACAGAGAGCCGGTCGTGCTGGTAGAACAAGGCCTGGAAAGTGTTTCAGATTATACACAGAAAAAGCATACAAAAACGAAATGCAAGATAATACCTATCCTGAGATTTTGCGTTCTAATCTTGGAAGCGTCGTATTGCAATTGAAGAAACTTGGCATCGATGATTTGGTGCGTTTATCATAATATTATATTATTAAAATATTTATTTTTTGTTTTTAAATAATATCGTTTTGTATTGTAAAAGTAATGACTTTATCATATGTTATGCGATAGGTGCATTTTGACTTTATGGATCCACCTGCGCCCGAAACTC